ATTATTAATTGCGATTTAATGCATATACAATATGTGTAATAATTAATTATGTCACGTTTAGTCACGTTATCAGTCAGAATGATAGAAAATGACACAAATGAAAAATTAGCGTTAGAGTTTGAATTTTAAAAACACATAGTATTAAAGAATAAATATAATTAAAAGTATAACAAGGAAAGAGAGTAAGATTATGCATATTCACTATGTTAATTAAAATGTTTTAATTCAGAATTAAAAAATGTTCTTTCGAAAAGTTGTTAATTTTAAAATGTATCACTTTTTTATGTCACATTTCGTTACGTTGATAGAAAAGTTATTCAAATAAAAAATTAGCGTAAGGATTGCAGTGATCGAATTTTGAAAATTTATGATATAATTTTAAAGAATATTTATAAGATAATCAGACCTTAGATGATTTATTCAAGCTTTGTCATTTTTTCTAATTTTTAAAATGAGTTTAAAATTAAAAACTGATAGTCAGATTAAAAAAATAAAACATTTCTGAATAAAAAAAATAAATAAAACATCTTCAACTATTTACATAGTGCAGTGAACATTTTAAGAAAATAAAGTAACATTTAAGTTATACTTATTGCGCACAATATAACTTAAATACATGTTTTCCTCTTTTACAGAAAAAAAATGTTGAAAAAATAAAAAATAAAATAATTTAATGTTACTTTTGTAAGATTATAAGTTTATTAACATATTGACATATTTGTTCCCAAAAAAAATAACACAAAGAGTTCAAAAATAATTCAATGATATGTCATCAATTCTGAATTTATTTTCGGATGCAAAAAGAATTCTCTTTCTGAAAAGTTCTGAAAAGAATTCTTGTTGCATCTGAAAATGAGCTGAATTCTTTTTAAACTTTTTTGAACTCTCTGTGCAATCTGGGTTGACCTAGAAGAACACAAAAAATTATTTTCTAAACAATTTATCTGCTTATTTACTTATCTATTTATCTCTTATTTTCACAACGTTTAACAGACGAATTAGAAGTCATGATTCAAAATAACAAAAGTATCAAAAAAAGAAAACGTTACAATCAATGTGTGTTCTGTAGTATGTGTGTTCTGGATTAATCGTTGGTTCTACCTTGTAAAGAGTTTTTTTTCTTTGATTACAACAAAGCACTGTGACGAAAATATAAACTAGATACAGGATTGTAAGGTATAAATACAAAATTACAATGAAATTAACAACTATCTCTTGATAGTTATAGAAAGTAATTACTTATCTATAAAATATTACCTGACGTTCACGTTCTGCATTTCACTTTATTGATAATAACAGAATGAACAAACTGAGCAATAAACTGATGCAATCAAGTCAGAAGAACAGCCTGCACGACTCGCTATAATGCTATCTGTTGAATGTACGGTGATTATTATTAATATCACTATTATTATTATTATTAATTACTATAAACGACAAACTATAGGACATATACTAGGTCAGGATCCGGTTACTTTAACTGAAAGTATAATGAAAGTTTAACTATAATGAAAGTATAAGGGGACAAGATTGCATGCTGATTATCATAAAAAGTTCCATTTCAGGATTTAAAAAATGTTCTACTAAAATAAATTGCTAATTTTGAGACGTGTCACTTTTCTATCATTGCAGTAATTTATGATGCTTTCATAGTATCTCCGAAAATATAACTTGTTACTATTGAACAATTGTTACTATTGAACAATTCTTTAATCCTACATTACTCGCATAGTTTTTTTAACATAATTATTTGCGTAAAATGTTTCTAACGTATTATACGTCACATTCTCATTGTTCTTTTCGATGACTTATAATTAAATAAAGACTAATAATATTCTAAATATCCCAATACAAAAGATTATTTTAATTGTAAAATAATATAATAATGCGCTGAATATAATAATGTGTATGTATAAATTGCATTTAAACATTTAGCGAGTTTATAAGACTGTAGAGGTATCCTAGATGCCCTGTGCAAGTAATGAAGGATTAACAATTATTAAAGAATAAATCAGTGTATTAAGTGCTTAATTACGTTCAATTAAAAAGCTATATAGAATGAGTTTTAAATTAGTTGAGCATAAAATCTAAAAAAGAAGAGAGAAACAGCAGTCCACTACGCGTAAATCCGCGTAGTCTCGTAAATCCATCGTTTCTGACAGATTCTACATCCCTCTGACACGCCATACGTGGCCAAAGGGTTAAGCTTGTTTCAACGAACGAGATAGGGTGATAGCTTTCGATGTGACAAGCTGATTTGCTGTACGCCGAACGAACAAAGGCGAGAGTCAAGTCGAAGAAAGTTGCTAAAAGGATCCAGTAGCGTATTCTTGTGGACGGACAAGGGTCCGGATAGGTCGAGTTTCTCTGGTCGAGCTTATTATCTGAATTAATTGGTTTATAGATCGCCCCACTCTGGTCGAACCACGTGCGGTTATTCGATGATGACCGAGGGGGAGAAATAGGGAGAAAACGACAGAAGACGGCCCGGCAAACGGGAGCGAGAGAAAACGATTTGAAAATGTAGTAAATGGGGGGATCATGCGTGAGAAGGAAAGCCGACGGAAAGGAAAAGGAGCGAGAGAAGGGCTCGACGAAGGGGAAAGGAGAAAATAAGCAAAAGGAGGAGAGAGAGAAGGGGATCATGATCCGGAGAGTGGTGGTGGAGCATGCGCGGGTGGGAGTGGCACCTTATTCGTCGTACCGCTCCCGCCAAGGGTTTCTGTCAACTACGAACTGCCGATGGTAAAGGTACTTGGATAAATCTGCGACGACGAGGCCGGTGTTCCGTTCCGTGTTCCGTTGCCAGCAGGCGAATTCACGGTGTCACGCGTGTTTGCGGGAACCGAACGTTCTTCTCGAACACGACGCGGAGAGAAGTGATCATCATTTAGTTGTGACTTCTTTTTTTCTTTTTTTTTTCATTAACTTTAAAAACAAAGAATATTACAAGACAGTGACACGTAACTTTGGCGGGATCATCCGTTGAGAGATTCGATCGCGATCGCCGAAGAAGTCGATGAGAGGTGTGTTTGAAAGTGATAGTGCACATGCCAGGATACATTTGAGGAACCACTGAAAAGGATACAGTGACGACTAACGAATCCGAGAAGTGAATTAAAACGATAATCGAGCGCGATGCAAGGAGTCGCGTTTGCGACGGGCATACGTCGCAGTGGGAGAAAATAAAGGTGGACAATTGCGATCGCGGCACATGGCCAAAAGTGTCACGTGGATGCATCGTTCGTGTCGGGACCCGTTTCCGCTCGCGAGAATTTGCAAACGTCAGAAGGAATTTTCCCGATTCGCGGGGAAAAAAGAGATCACGGGATTGGAAAAAATCACGAGGAATCCATTGAACTGCGAAATAAACGCGAAAAAACTGGAAATTCACTGCTCACTGCTTTCTGCTTTTTTTCCCACCTCTCGCTGCGCAACAAAGAAAAGAATGAAAAAGGATCCAGGTGCGAAATAATTCGGCCGGTAACCGGATGAGATTTGGAAAACGAGCTGATGTTTTGCGCCGCTTTTTCGCGAAGGCTTTCGCTTTGACGTAACTAACGTTGTCGAGTTGCGGTCGACGCCAGTTCAGTGGTTAACTAACGACGAGGAGTCGTCGATGAGGAAAAGGCGAATCAGTTTGTTTCCGCTTTCAAGCATTCATCTGACTTCGGAGGGAAGGAATCCGGTCTATACGAGGCCTATAAGCTCCTCGAAACGCATCGACGTTTACGTCTCGTAGTGTGTAATCATTTTTCATGCGTTAATTAGCGAGAATCTGGAAAAACGGAGGGAGCAACGTTAATGCGCGCGTGAAAGGGGGTCGTTCTGTTCGAAAAGGAACGAAGGGACTAGTTTTGTGGGGGAGTGATATCCGTTTGACGGGGAAATATACGGGTGGTGTGCTCGGTAGCGCGCCGCGCACCTGAGCTACGTCGGGTGCGCAAAAGAAACAAAAACAAAAAAAACAAAAAGAAAAGAAGAGAAAAAAAAGAAAATAACGGAAAAGACGCACTCGCGTAAAAAGTTCACGAAAGCGCCCGAGGGAGAGTGTCCGGGGAAAGTTACGGGAGACAAAAAACATTAACGGGACAACGTTTACGGCGGAAATAGCGGCCACCATCTAACAACTGACGATAAAAGGAAGATCGTTAAGCCCCAAGAAGACCTCCACGGAATGACCCAAGTAAAGCGGAGTAATAGCGAAACTACTTTCGTGCGGATCTACGAAAGCTAAGTGCGCTTATTGTGGTTTCCATGAAAACGTGGTGGTGTCGGAAAAACGCTCCCGTTCGCGAGAAATCGGGAGAATCTCCTTGTTGAAGAAATAAATCACGGAAAGGATAACGTCTTAACGTGATAATTCAATTTTGATTTAATTGTAAGTGATACAACAGCTGTCTTGTATGATATGACGGTCAATCAGTAACTTCTAAAGGAGCAAATTAGAAAAACAACATTACAGAAAAATAAGTCGAGAGATTCCAGGCGTTCCATTAAATCCGCAAAGTGGAATTGTTTTCACACTAAACCGCGCGATCGGTATATATACATACATATATATATATATAGATTTTCTTCTTAAAAAGCACGAGGAGAGATTCTCCTCCCGCGAGAATCGAAAAGCGTGGGAGATGTCGAGTGAGGACAAATCGACGAACGCGCAAGAATTTCGCTGACTCGGTCGAAATCAACATTCAAATGCGGACTCTCGACTGTCTCTAAGGTATCGAGGAATATCGACATCGACGATCTTCTCGGCGAAGAACACGTGGCGTCGTCGGAAATCGCTGATCGTTTCACTTCAAATACGAGGAAACGAAGAGCACGTTGAGGCGGGTGGACTCGATTAAACGGACTCGAAAATTCCCCGACGCGACGGCTGCAAAATTCTGCGGTTGTAACTTCCATTCTTTTTCTCGACAAACGGTACAAACGGTCGCGATTATCTTCCCCCTGTGATCCCCGCGGCACCGCCTCGCACAAATGTCAAGTGAACGATGAAGTACTCGAGAGTGCAGACGAGGAAGAAGTGGGACGCCACTTCGCTCGACGACGAATCGTGCTCCAGGTGCGGCAAGTGTCTGACTAAAATGCAGCTCGTACTACTGTCCGCACTATTCTGCTCTTCTCTGACGACAGGTGAGGCAGCTTTAATCTCGCCGGGGCGACACCTTTTTCTTCCCCGCGTTCACCCTTTCTTCTCCGTTGCATAATTTATTTTTTCTTGCTATTTCAAGACCGGTGATTTACATGCGGCCTTTTGATCATAGAGTACTTTTCAATCCTTCTGAGATTTTCTGAATTTTTTGAAATATATAAATCTCTCCGACTTTTGCAACATCCAGAGAGACATAATTTCACTTTTAAATTATGAGTTTCAAATATTTATAAATTATGAGCTTCGAATATTTAAGCATTTAATTTTTGTGCCGATATAAATGTCATAATGGCATTTACATGATTGGAAAGAGTGAGTAAGATTTATCTACAGCAGAGCTGCGCGCAATTAGCATAATGAATAATTGTGCCGCGCACGCCCGTGATACGTCATTCCACCGATAAGTGCTTAATAGGTAAATTAACGGTGACAAAGTGATGCAATTAATCCGGTAACTAGTTATTAAAGTCATCGCGGATATGCCGCGCACCCCATCGCTATTATGGCGGTAAACCTCGTTTTACCGTAGGCTGAAAAGAGATTGGGATCATAAATATTCAGCGATGTTTAAA